AGATGTAAGTGGGTCTTCACTATCAAACACGATGCCGGTGGTAGTATCGAGAGATTCAAAGCTCGACTGGTTGCAAAAAGGTATACTCAACAAGAGGGAGTGGATTATGAAGAGACATTCTCCCCTGTTGCCAAGCAAACTTCAGTTCGGATGCTTCTTTTGACTACAGCTAAGATGAACTGGTCTGTAAGTCAACTCGATATATCTAATGCATTCTTGAATGGTGACCTTGACGAAGAGATATATACGAAGATTCCTTCTGGTTATGCTGATCTTATTGGTGAAAGCTTACCACCCAATGCTGTCTGTAGACTCCACAAATCCATATATGGTCTTAAGCATGCATCACGACAATGGTTCATCAAACTCTCCACAACATTACTTCAGATAGGATTCGTCAAATCACACGCAGATCATACGTTGTTTGTCAAATACACTGCGGATGTCATTATTGGAGTTTTGATTTACGTTGATGATATCATGATCATTAGTAACAATGACGTTGTTGTGACAGAATTTAAGGAAGAGTTGAAGTCTCATTTCAAGCTACGGGATCTCGATAAAGCGAAGTATTTTCTTGGCTTAGAAATTGCTCGCTCAGCTAAGGGAATATCAGTTTGCCAAAGGAAGTATATTCTGGAGTTATTAGAAAGTACTGGTTTTCTGGGAAGTAAACCTTCGAGCATTCCTATGAATCCGAGTATAAAGCTCTCAAAGGATGTTGGTGTTCCTCTACCAGATCCTTCATCTTACCGGAAACTCATAGGCAAGCTCATGTATCTACACACGACTCGTCCTGACATTTCCTACGCAGTCAGCACTCTGTCTTAGTTCTCTCACGATCCTCATGATATCCACATAAAATACTGCACACAAGTTGTTAAGGTATTTGGAAGGTAAAGTCGGACAAGGTTTGTTTTACCCTGCAGACAACAAATTTGACCTAAGAGGGTTTGCTGATGCTGATTGGGCTGCCTGTACGAATACTCGGAGATCTGTTACTGGCTATTGCATGTTTCTCGGCGACTCTCTCATCTCGTGGAAATCGAAGAAACAGGACACTGTTTCCTGCATACTGCTGAAGCAGAGTTCTGTGCCATGTCTGCAGCCACAAAGGAGATTATTTGGCTCTCTCGTTTACTAGTTGATTTGGGCATTCTTTTTCAAGAACCAGCTTACCTTTACTGTGACAACACTGCTGCTATACACATCGCCAACAATTCAGTGTTTACCAAACACATTGAGATTGATTGTTACAAAATCAGAGAAGCTGTTGATTCAGGTTTCCTCAAGACTATGTTTGTGAAATCAGGAAATCAACTTATTGATGCTTTAACCAAAGCTCTTCCTCCTGCTCCTTACTAAGAATTGATATCCAAAATGGAAGTTTGCAACATTTTTGCATCTCCATTTTGAGGAGGACTATTAGATTATTAGATTGTATATAGCTTACGGTTTATACCAGTTTATAGATCTATTTAACTTTGGTTTAGCTGATACAGGTAGTATAAATACTTTGTACCAAGTATATTATTTAATAATGAGAATCTGAGTTTATTCATCATCTTTTCTCTCGTTTTTCTCTTAAGGGCGAAACACTAATAAATTTTACTATTTCTCAGCGTTTTAAAAAGGAAAGGTAAAATCAAAAATCAGCATATGAAAAATGTTAAGTTTGAAAGATTTTTACCTTACATGTTATTTTGGACTCATAAACTTGTTTTGACGGCAAATAAGTAGGGGTTATTGGTTCTTATATTTTGGTGGATTTATAAATCTTCTTTGGATTTGATAAATTTATTGATTTCAAAATCAGCAAAATGGAAAAAAATCAAATCCACTCAAATACCAAGGTTAGACCTTGTATTTGGGTCTTTATATTTTAGTCATAAAAATCTTTCCAAATCCATTCAAATTCAATTAAAACTCAAATCTTTATAATATTTAGATTCTAAAATGATAGAACCAATAACACTGTATTTCATTATGGATTTTAAAATCATAGAACTAATAACACTGTATTTCAATATAAATTTTAAAATATAAGAACCAATAACACTGAATTTGGTTTGGATTCTCAAATCCATTAAAATACAAGAACCAATAATACCTCCTAAAAGTTGGCTGACTTTAAAATTAATAAGAATCTCAAAAGTCTGATAAGCTTTAAAAACTGTAAAATAGTTAAATTCGTGACAACCTAATCAGCATACAAACTGTAAAATCAGGGCCACTCCAAAAAAAGGAAATATCCACTAGTGAATTTAATCCGAAACAAAATTTCCCCGTTATTGAAAACAAGGTCGGAGCAGGAAAAGGAAACTAACCTAAAGAAGCCTTCTCTTTCTCTATTCCTGTATAAATAGAACCAAGCCCTAAGCTCGCATAACTACTCCACATAACAAAGACACAACTTCTTCGATTAATTCGTCTTTAAATTCCCACGATTTCTTATTAAACGTCAACAATGGACGCAATTTTTTCATTGATTAACCAACGGATGAGAGCAATACTAGCAAGGTCGCAGCCTGGCGAAGATTTCGGTTTAATTCTTAGCGACGAAAACCGTCAACTTCTGTTCACGAATGCTATTGGTCAACATGATGATGATGATGATGATGATCAACTGATCTCATCTTTCTTAGAACTCGCCGTTGGTCAGACCGTTGAAACCGCAAGGATGTTTTTACAGAGCACGAATTGGAACATTGATGAAGCCATCAATCTCTTTCTCATCAGTCACGACATCGCCGCGGCGCCATCTGAGGATTTAGCCTCTGATGATTCGAGATTGTCTTCCTTGTACCATCCTCCCCTGAAACTTCTTCTCGAGGGTTCGTTTGAAGACGCGAAATTAACTTCTTCCCAAAAGAATCAATGGTTGATAGTGAATCTCCAGTCAAGAACAGAGTTTGCTTCTCATAGGCTTAACCGAGATGTATGGTCAAACGACGCAGTTTCGCAAACCGTTGAGTCCAGTTTTGTCTTATGGCAAGTCTATGACCATACGATCGAAGGTAAGAAAATCTCGACTTTCTACAAGATCGAATCTGCTCCTCCCGTGGTGCTTGTCATCGATCCCATCACTGGTCAGAAGATGCGTATGTGGAGCGGCGAGATTGAAGCTCATGGATTTGTCGAGGATCTGATGCGGTTTTTGGAGGCTGGTCCTCATGAACACATTGCTTCTCTTACAAGGAACATACGCTCCAAAACTAAGGAAACTCTTCCTTCGTCAAGCAATAACACCGACCAAGTCGCGACTCCTTCTTGGGGTGAAGAGATTGAAAAGGAGGAAACTTGTTCGTCAAGCAACCGCATCAATCAAGTCGTAGCTCCTTCTTTTTGTGAAGAGTTTGAAAATGAGGAGACTTGTTCATCAAACAGCAACATCGATCAAATCTTGGCTCCTTTTTGGGGTGAAGAGTTTAACGAGGAGACTTTGTCCTCAAACAACAACTATGATCACATGGTGGCTCCTTCTTTGGGGCCCGAATTTGAAGAGTCTGCAGAAGTCAAAGAGGAGGAGGAGACTTGTTTAGAGTTTCCAGATTTGACAGAAGAGCCAAAGGGAGATTGCGATCGAAGCCTTGTGTGCAGTCTCTGCGTGCGTTTTCCAGATGGGAGAAGAAAGCAGAGGAAGTTTCTCAATACGGAACCAATTCAGCTTCTTTGGTCTTTCTGTTATTCTCAGATGGAGGCATCCGAGAAAAAGGCGTTTAAGCTGGTACAAGCGATTCCTGGTGCTTCCAAGACTCTAGATTATGAAGCTAACACGACTTTCGATCAATCTGGACTCGCTAATTCGATGATCTCAGTTACTTGGGAATGAAGATTTCGACCTATTGTTTCTTCTTTTTTCAAGTAATTATGAAGAAGCTTTTACATTCATGTAATTCCATACGTTTGTTTCGTTGGTCAAATCGAATCAGTAGGTTTGGATATAAGCGTGTACCACCGGAAAAAGAATGATTTCATATGGTGAAATTAATCAGTAGGAAATGGGCAATATATATATTATTTAATAGATGATGAAAATTTGACGAAGTTCTAAATCATTGTGTTCTTTTAGTTTTGCTAGACAATGCACACGCATGACACATTGACACATCCCACAATTTCATAAAACAAAAACTACCGAAATGTTATAGCCCTATAGGTGCTCTAAAAGTGTTACTTGTCAAAAGGTTGAAATTGTTTGTCGAAAACAACCTTGAATTTTATACATAACGTAGATATGAGTTTGATTTTTCTAAAAGAATCTAAAAAATACAGCCAATCGAATCTCTTTCGAGGAGGAATCCGATTTTTTTTTTTTTCGGAATTTAGATCAATTCAATTTTTTTACCAATTATCACTACCTTGTCTTTGATAACCTAAAAATGAAAGAAATCTGACACATGGGGTTTTTATATAACAAATTGAAGACTTAAGAATTTACAGAAATTTACAGAAGAAGTAGAGGTATTGATTTGTATTATTTTGAAAGTAGAGGGGATGTTTCTGAACGTCGCCTAACTTGACAATTGCCACCTGTCAGGTCTTTTTTAGAGACTCAGAAGTTAAAAGAACCGAAACGTATTGAGAGGAAAGGAATACGTTATTTCGTCACTATATGGTACCATCCTCTCTTCCACAAAACTGCCCAGTATAAACAGAGCCATACTACAAATTAGAGATATCTTCTTATCATTAAACAAAATTAAAAAGAGAGAAAGAAAGAGATTTTTATTAACCTTTCTTTAGTATGGTTAGTTACACTAAGGTTTAACACTCTCTGGTCTATGTCTTTTCATATCACAAAACTGCCCATTATAAACAGAGCCATACTGCAAATTAGAGATATCTTCTTATCATCAAACAAAATTAAAAAAATGAGAAAGAAAGAGATTTTTATTTACCTTTCTTTAGTATGGTTAGTTACACTAAGGTTTAACACTCTCTGGTCTATGTCTTTTCATATCACATCTGAAAATGTTTTAATATGCTGGTCTATTGTAATGAATTTTTTTTGTACGCAGGCAAGTGAAAAAGAGGACATCAAGTACGAAGAGGTTTGTGTTTTGTTACTGAATGTAGTAAATATTAATATAACTATATCGATAGAGAATCTGAGTTTTGATAGATGATTATAAATGCAGAGTTTTATAAAGAACACTCGAGGAATGAAGCTATTCACGTGCAAGTGGTTACGAGCAAATCAAGAGCCAAAAGCTTTAGTCTTCATCTGCCATGGATATGCAATGGAATGTAGCATCACCATGAATAGTTGAGATCAAACTCACTTCGTAATATCAATGAATATGTATATCTCACAAAGGTCAAAACTTTGTTAACGATTTTTGAGATGAAATATTATTGGATTAGGTACTGCAAGGAGGCTTGTGAAGGTAGGATTTGGGGTCTATGGAATGGATTGCGAAGGACATGGCAAATCTGATGGGCTTAGTGCTTATGTCCCAAACTTTGACCATCTCGTTGATGATGTCTCTGCCCACTACACATCAATTTGCGGTAATGTTGACTTTTTGTATATGGTACTTTTGGAATGCTTATCTTTTGAAAACGGTGGCCGAGGACTTACGGTTACTTTGTATTGACCATGCACAAGTTTTGATGTAATGTAGATAGAAAATAAACAAAATGTGTTTTGGATGAAAGTAACTCGTATAAAAAAAAAATTTGTCGTCTCAAATGATTTTGATGTTTTTGTTTGTGGTTGCAGTAATTAGAGAGAGACGAGAATAAAGAGAAGATGAGGTTTTTAGTTGGGGAATCAATGGGAGGAGCAGTGCTTTTGCTGATACATAGAAAGAAGCCTCACTTTTGGGATGGGTCAGTCTTGGTTGCTCCAATGTCTAAGGTACACATATTCATTCTCTCATGCATCTATCATCATTTTAGATACTTTGTTTTTCTGAAATTTGGATTCATGGAAACAAAAAATAGAAATCCACGTCCATGCATATATTTTGTAAGTTTTTGATATATATATATATATATATATAGAAAGCTAAACAAAGAAGTAGTAGCCATTCCGAGTTATATTTATTTATAGATTATTAAGCAAATGAATCTATTTTTATATAAGGAAAGTAAAGATACTTTGAATTTGCCTTATTTTACTTTAAAAATATCTATACTATTATTTGATAAGTAGATTTCTTACGTATCGCTCTCATATCGCTCTCATGTTCGCTCTCAGCATATTTTAGTCGTTTTTTTTTCTTTTATACCTTTAATGAAAACTCAGTGACACATGTTTTTTTCTACTTGTCGGTATCTGATGACGTGTACATTCTCACTTAAATCAAACCGCTTACGTGTCTATTCAAAATTATTGGTTTAATTCTCGGTTCGGCTCTCAATCACAGAAACAAGCCTTAATAATATTGATATTGATTTTGGGCCGTAGTCCACAAGTATTAACGGCGGTCGAAAAAAAAAAACCCTAATCATGTATCGTTAATTATATATTTTAGGGCGACAGCTACAATTTTTGTGGCTAAACCTAATATAGCTAATAAAAAAACCATAATCATGTAAGCTATATATATGGTTTGCTATCTCTCGATATTTTATATCATATCGTTTTAGCTTTTGATTTTTTTTCTCATGTTTTAGTTTAATTTTGTATTTTAGTATTCTGAATTTCTGTGTTTGTGTTTTGTAATCGATTATTGTGTTGGTTGTGATTTGTTTACATGATCTCTCCTTTGTTTTGTATTCTTCAAGCAGATGCACCCGTTAAGCGATAATGGTATGAGTTTCATCGTTTGAGATCACAGGTACTCTTCATCACAAACTGAATCAGCCGTTAATCACATTAATTTCTTTGTTGTCTCTATTAAGACTCTGAATCTATGATTCCAGAATAGTTATGGCGCTGATGGCAATGATGAGATCATACGGTAATGTTCCACAACCTCATGCCACCATGTATTATTCTCAGAGAGCAACGCTGGGAGGTCTTCTCCAAATTCGCCATGGCGTAAAGTCTTTTTGGAACTATTTACCTGAAAAAATATTAATCTTTTTTTTTTTTGCTTTCATATCGATTTTAATAGCTGTTTTTAATATTAAATTATATGATTTATTTTTGACTAATTCTAACTATTTTGCAGCCAATCCTAATTGGCTAACGCTGTTCGCTTACTTCGTCGTTAGTTTTATATAAATTTTTTAGCTAAACCTAATTCTACTATCCAATATTTTGTGTTGGCTGGTACTCGGTAATTTTATATTTTAGCTCTAAGCTTTATGCTTTTAGTGTCTTTTTATATTTTAATTATGAATTTAGAGATTTGATTTCATTTATAGTGTCTTCTTTGATTTCCTCTTTTGATATATAGAACTGATCTATCTTCATTTTTTGTAGGTTGTTATATCTTAAAACTACGTTTGGGTATATACGGTATGTATTATTGATACTGTTTTGTTATTATCTTTACGGTTCCAATAATTTTTTATCGTTTGTCTCTTTCTTTTACAGGTTCAGTTGCGGTTTGAATCGTTGTTGTATGGTGGTGGACTATTTATTTCCATGTAGATGATATTATAGCTTATTATTTCGGTGTAGTTTTCTTTTCTGTTATCTCTTATTTTATTTGTTAATATGTATCGTTTGTAGATCCGATTGGGTCGTGTTGTTTTAGATTAAGTGAGCTTTGCATTGCATAATTGTTTTTATATTTGTTTACAGTTTGTTTTGTGTTTATTTTGTACTCCCTTAACTGTTTTTATAATGTTTTGTTTATATTTTGTAGGTTAGGTATTATAACCATCATTGGTGGCCCTATTAGGTCGATTCATGGATTGTTTAGGTATGGATATATATCTTGATGTGTTGGGGTTCCTTTCATGTATTTTTGGTTCTGTCAATTTGTGATTCATCTCGTATTAATTTTTCGATTGTGTTCGATCCTTTTGATATTAATTTTTTTATCTTTTGTTTTGTTTTTAGGATCGGTTTTGGATTGATCAAATGATTTTCTGGAATGGAATAATCCCAATAGGAAGCAACGGTGAAGAAGCGGTTGTGGTGATGGTGGTGGTTTATTACCACTGTGGACACAGTGGTGGATATGTAGCGGAGATTACCGGTTTGGTGGAGGCCATAGTAGTCTTGGTGGAGATTGATACAATGGTGGTGGCAGGTGGTTACGAAAGAGGTGATGGTGGCTATGGAAGAAGTGGTTGTGGTAGCGATGGCTATAATTGAAGATAAAGTGGTTTTCTGCGGTTCTTTTTGTGTATAGATTTGGTTCCATATCCATGTGTTTCAGTTTAGGTTAGTTTAAACATTCATCAAGTTATGTCTCGGAGTTTTAAGATTCATCACTTGATGTCTTGAAGTTTATGGAGTACCATGTATAATTTCAAAAATCTATAAGGTTATATACCAGATGTAGTGTTTCTTCTATTTGGTGGATCATCTTTAATTGAATCTCATGATAATCTCTATTGGTATGCTATCTTTTTTTTCTCTGATTTCTTAGTCTATATTTTTTGTGAGTTTTGTTTTGCTTTTCATTGCGGGATTGTTTTGACATATCTAATTTTTTGTGTCTTTTTTGTTTCTTTTGATATTTGTTTGTATGTTTGTTATCTGGTTCGAACCATAATTGTGATTTTAGTGTTTGGATTTGAGTTATGCAATCGAATTCTAGAGTATATTGCGCTGATTATTAGTTTGGTCTAGATTACTTTTTAAGTTTTTCTATCCTTTTTTTTGTCTAAACGCTTTAACTCCATTCACCATACCTACTTGTACTCTTTGGTTTTTAACGTCAGTTTGAAAAAGTGATTAGTGAGTGTGTCTGTATATGTGTCGGAATTTGAGCTGTATTTCATTTATTAAATATCCCGTGAAGTTTAAAGTTTTAATTTGATTGTTTTAAGATGTGATTATTATGTTTGCAATGAATTAATATCTTTATGTATATGAAGTCGGAAAGGAAGAGTAATGACAAAGAAAAAGAAAAAGAAGAGAGGAAGCCCTAGAGACCTCAACCTCATAATGTTTGACAAAAAAAAAAGGGAAGGTCATCAATGGTGTATTATCGAGGAAGCAGAAGTATTAAGAGGAATTAGGAAATAGGTGATTTTCTTTTACTCGAAGAAAGAATTATTATTTCCTGTTTTCTTTTTTATGTTTGATAGATAACATTAGTTTACCATTTTTATAAGTGTACTGTGTTTTTGTAATAATCTGTCTTGATTTGGTTCACAAATTGGATTCAATATATGATTTGAGTTTTAACAATTGGAAAAATCATTGTGGAAGTGTTTTTTGCAACGTTGATAGGAAATGTAATTAATCATTTTTTTATTTTGTTTCTTCATTCTTTGATATGATCACGAATGAAAATTTTATAAGGAGTAGATAAAGAAGAACGTAGTAGATGAAGAAAATATAACAAAGAAGAAGAGAACATGTTCTTTTTCCATGTAGACAAAAAATAACAAAGAAGAAGCAATAAAATATGAATTGATTGGTGTGTTTTTTATTCTTTTCTTTTTTTTTTAATTTTAAGGGGTGTATTGGATTAGAAATTTGAGAAGATTTGATGGTTTTTTTAATTCTTGCAATGTCATACATAGATATTGCCAACAAAACAACACCAAAAGAACATAAAAACCAAACTAAAGAGGAGTCATGTTTCTTCCAAAAACATGTAACACATCACGTGTTTTCCCAAAAAACATCACCAAAACAAAAACCACACATGTGTTCCACAAAAACCAATCACACATGTTTACCTTGAAACTGTGATTAATCAAGCAAATCTCCAAAAAGAAAATTAGCCAATCCATTGCTTCCTTGCCTCCCTCCACCCCTTTCTCCTTGCCTGCCTCCACAAGTTCATCTTCCTCCTTGCCTTCCTCCACCCATTTCTCCTTGCTTGCCTCCACGAGTTCCTCTTTCTCCTTGCCTATCTCCTTCACTTCCATCTTGGATTTCTCTTTGGGTTCCTTGCAGTGTACTTGTAGAAATATCTTGGACTTTAATAGGATCTTCCATCTTAGCAGTGAAATCAGCCTCCATTTCAGCTTTTTCTTGAGCTGCATCTTCAGCTTCTTGTTGAGCTTCTACTTGAGCTTTAAAGTAATTCTTTGCATCTCTTCTTACCAGCTTTAGCATCTGAACAAATGGCTTTCTGCCTTCAAAGTCCTATTAAAAGACTTTGTTAGATTGTTGTGTGTGTCTGCACAACAACTTCCAATCCGAAAGTGTGCCCTACACCAGGTCTGAGGATCCTTCTGAAGAAGCTCATCGCATGCCCTTGAATCAAACTCTCTGAATGTTGCCAAGTTAGTCCTGAAATCCACTAGATTATAACTGCTTGCAACCCTCCAAAACAATAGATTTAATGAATCAGACTTATGATTTTTCTTGAGGTTGGCGTAGATGTGACTAGCACAAGCTCTATGTTCTGCCTTTGGTAAATGAGAAGAGACTCCATGAATCAAATTTCAGTGCTGGTTTGAAATGATGGTAATCGCCACACCCTCACCCAAATACAAGTCGGCCTTTAGTTTCTGAACAAAACTTCCAATTGTCATTGTTCTCTGATGAAACTACACCCGAAGCTATCGG